GGCCGGAGGGCGCGGGAGGTTCCGGAGCTGCGCGCGCGCTCTCCCTGACTCCGCCCACGACCCCGCCCCTCCGGAGTCGGAGTCGCGGAGTGGGCGTGTCCGGAGGCGTGCACACCGATGGCCACGCCCCCTGCGCCCCTTGGCGTGTGGTCTGCAGGGCGCCCCAGGGCCTGGGCCGGCTTGATTTATTCTGTGGTCACAGTGGTGAGCTTAGGGGTTCAGCCTGTGGGTTTTTCGCACTACAGAAATGGGGTGTATTTATATATTAGCTCAAAGGAAGAAAAAAAATAGGGATTCGTATTAGCGTTTGTTAAATTCCTCTAAATGACCCCAATGCATTGTTGGTGTAATGGAAAACGTTCAGCGTTTGCGGACCCTAACCCAAGGGCTTAACTTCTCACGCAACGCCAAGATGCACGCTCACCCTAAGACCGCGGCCCACCGACCGGAAGGCCCACAGCAGATTTAGTCACAGCAGGAAAAATACCTGGACTCTGCCACGGGGCCAGCACCTGGGGAGTGGATAGACACGGGGGCACAGCCCAGCAAGAGGCGCCAGCCTCAGATACCTGCGCGGTCCAGATACCTGCTCCGTCCGGGCGGAGATGCAGAAGCTACACACACGGTGGTGCGTTCACATGGACGTTCAGAGAAGGCACGGCGGGCCTAGGACGATCAGGGCCGCCCACCGGGGAGGGGGACGGGGCTGACGCCCAGGAGCAAGGGCCTTACTGCAGGGGAATGAGCGGATTGTAAAGTCTAAGCTCTCTGACTGCAGTCTTAAAGCTGGCTGTTTGCCCTGGGTGAGCGACGGCTCCCTTCTGTGGAGACAGGCCAGCCGACCGCCGCCACGCAGTCAGAAATGGCACGGAGGAACTCTGCGTTTGTGACCGTTGGAAAGACGGAGTTCAGCTCCGCGAGCAAGAGTCCATTTGGAGGGACAAGCGCGGATCCTGGCTCTCACTTTGGTCTCCCAGCCACACACTGTGGGTGTGGCCGTGGCACTTGTAGCATACGCCGCCCGGAGCCCGTTTCCTGGTGTGGAAGGAAGGCCGTGGCTGTGCCCACTCAACCTTGATGGGGACTGAGGCCGCGGTGTCGGTGGCTCACAGGACAGTTGTCCCCTCTGGGCGGCAGGCAGCACGCGAGGCGCCGGGGCTGAGGCCCGTGGGTGAGGACGTTGGACAGGGCGCTTGGTGGCCCCTCTCTGCTCCTCCATGTGGGGCACAGCGGCGCGCTGACCCCGAGCTGCTGTGTGACAGACTCCCCCAGACGCAGTGTGTTGAAACAACACACACCAGGACCACAGAGTTCCTGGGGGTTAGAGTCAGGGCATGCTCAGCAGGGGTCTCTGTGCAGGGAGCCACAGTCCAGCTGGTGGGGGGCTGCAGTCTCCTCAGGGGCTCCCCGCAGAAAGACCCACTTCCCGGCTCCTGCAGGCCCTTGGTAGAAGTCATCTCGTGCCAGACGGCGGAGTCCTCACTTGCTGGCGGCTGAGGGCTCCCCAGTTCCAGAGGCCGCCTGCTCTCTCCCCACAGCTGTTCCCAACAGGAAAGAGTCGCAGGATGCCCGGTGAGTTGGACAGCGGGGGTTGGCTCCTCTGAGAGCTTCTCCACCACATAAGCTGGTGCCTCGGCTGGGCACTCAGCCTGGGCCGGGGGAGCTTTTGAGCACATGGGACCCCCTGCTACTGGGGTCCCAGGGCGAGTCACTCAGCACCCGAACCTCAGTGTTCTCGTTTGTAGAATGGGGTAGAATGGCACCCACCTTGGGGGTTACCTGAAGAGGAAGAGAAGTAACACGTGCAGGGTCCCTGGCTCAGAGCCTGATGCCCACTGCCCGAGAGCCGATGGGGCGAGCTCAGTCCTGTTGCTGTTTCTCCTCATTCTGAGAAGAGGTGGGCGGCCTGGCCTTTTACTACATCCACGGAGGGAGCTGGTCATTCACTGGACGATGGGCTCGCTGCTGTGGCATGCTGAGAATCTCCTCTGCCTTCGAGATGGGCACCTCTCAGGTTAGGAAGGATCTGGTTTAGCAGCGACTGTGATGTCTCGAGTTTCCCTTCTTTCTTTCTTCTTCTTTTTTTTTTTTTTTTTTTTTGGTGTGATGTTTGAAATGGTTGCTAAGGAGAGCATCTGAAGTGGCCCCTAGTAGCGATTTAAGGAAGTCTGGGAGGCTTGAGGAGTCATAGGAAATAAAATCAATATCCTTCAGCACCTGCCGCTTCACTGGCCATTGTGGAGTTTTAAAAACCTCAATGGATTTTCTTATTATCATAAGAAAATTGCTGCCTGTGAAGCAAAATTGGAAGCACATAGCCAGCAAATCAAGGATTCATTCAGTAAGCACGTTCGGCACACTCAGTGCCCTGCGCTCGCCAGCTGCCGGGGTGCCACCCCAGCCAGGAGGGGAAGCCGCCCGTGGAGTGTAATTCTGTGGGGACGACGTGTTGGGGAAATGGAACTCAAAGCAAAACCTGCCAACCCAGATCGCCTTTCTACAATGGAGAAAAGAGAAAGAAACCAGTTTTCTTATGAACTGGGCATTAAGCCAGAATGTGATTTGTGTGGCAGGCGACCCAGCAAAGAGACTGCAGGCAGAGAAAGCCGGGCAGATGCCAAGATAGAGGATGGCAGGATTTCAAGTAGGACCCTAGGGTGCCCTAAATCCTCGGGTAAATGGAGGGCCAGTTGTGTTTGCTAGGTGTCTTTAGCCAAAGGAATAATAAGCTTCTCGTAGCCCACTGTCAGCCTGACCTGGACTTGGAGATCAGGTCCCTCTCCTTCCTGAGGTTAACATTTCAAAGAGGGCTTAAGAAAACAAGCCCGGTTGGTTGTAAAGACTGGCAAGAGGCTTGTGGCCTTTCCAAAGCTTTGCAACCCCCTCCCCCCCCCCAGGGGCAGGGAAAGAATTTACAGCTGCAGCGTCCCTAAAGGAAAGACTGCCGGAAAAGGAGGGGGTGGGCTCTTCTTTGCACCAGGGAAAATGAATGGCTTTTCATCTCCAGCGTGTTTCTGCCTTAGTTCTGCCTTAGGAGGGCAGGCTGTAAGCAAATACAGCCAGGCAGCGGTGCGTGGCACAGGGGAGCAAAGGCAGCCGAGCACCAGGGAGCCAGAGCCACCCAGAGCGCCGCGTTGACTGCCAGGCCCCTTCCCGGCTGCATTCCAGCCCGACCCCACCGCGGGCGTGGGGGTGTGCAGGGGCACGTCTCCCTGTGCTCGCTGTGAGACTGGGGCGCACCCAGGCCAGCCGCCCAGCGGAACTGGCGGGTGCTGGGGTCGAGGGAACCATTGGACTAGCTTAGTTACTCCTTGTAAATAGATTATTAACCCCGAAGAAGCACTTTTTATTAGCTCTAGATGAGACAGCAAACACGAGTCTGGTGGGATCGCTGCTAACGACCCTAATTGGTTCATTAACCTCCGGGAGCCGGTGTCCTCATCCGTGAAGTGGGGTGCTCTTATTGATCTTGTGGGTATGCTTTGACAACATTTGAAAAAGGTTAAGCGCAGGTGAGGCTGCTAGTAATTACCCAGGTGAGGCTGCTAGTAATTACCCACCGAGCCCTCAGCACGCCTGGTGGCCTCAGAGGTGATTCAGACCAACGTCCCTGGCAGCCACTCTCGGCCCAGGGGACGGCTTCCTACCTTTGCACCTGACAACCGCCCCCTGGGCTGGCATTGTCTTCATCTCCTGGTGTAAACTGGACCCCAGGCCGCCGAGGGCCAGGGGCAGTGGGCTGGGCCCCGGGTCCCTGGGGCCCCGGGCGGCTGCGGAGGGTTCGGTCAGCGAGCCGATTTCGATTTCGGCCAGGCGGTCTGGCCTGGGTGGTTACCTTGGTGTGTCCCGGGCACGCTGGGCGGCTGAGGACTGCGCGCTCGTGCACCGGGGACCTGAGCGCCGAAGGCAGCACGGGCTGCAGGTGTCGGTGTCGGAAGCAGGCGGAGGGGATCCGGGCTCGGCCAGTGGGGGGACTCGTGCGGCTGGTTCCGGAGCAGGACGATCCGGACTGCCCTGGCTGGGGTCCCGCCGGCGCGCCCGCCCAGCCTGGTGTGGGCAGCCTCGCCCAGCAGGTGGCGCTGCAGGCTCTCCCAAGGCTCCACCACCGGCAGGCCGACCTCGGGGCATAGCTCAACACCTTGGGGCCCCCGCGGCCCCAGTCTCTGGACCTTCCAGCAAACCTGCGCTGGAGCACAGTTACCTTTTGCAGGAAGCCTTCCGTACATTCAGAATGGGGAAATGACCTCCATCACACCACTGAGTCCTTGGCTTGCTGCTTTTGTTTTGTGCTGCTTTTTGCCTTTTTTTGTGACACCAAAATGGGTCCACATTCAGGCAGAAATGCATGGGTGGGCGAGCATAATATGTTCCAGGGGAAATGTGTAAACACCGCAGACACAGGGGAGGAAACTGAGGCTTAGGCAGACTGAGTGGGCAAGTGAGGAGCTGGGGGCCAGCGCCCCCTACGCCCCCTTTTCTGTTTTCAAGGCACGCCCATTCTGAAACCTCCCCCACCCCCAGCCATTCTCCTGGGAAGATGGGATCTTTATTGGGGGAAGGAAGCAGTAAGAAGACAGGAGATGTTTTCTGGGTGAGAAATGGCCTCACGGCACTGCGGGTGCTGGGTGCCTGGCTGGGCCTGGGCTGGAGGGTGGGACCCCATCACACAGCCTGCAGAGCCCGCAGGGCTCATGGCTGCGTGGGAGTCAGCAGGGCCAGGCTCGAGCGGAGGGCTGCCTCAGGCAGCATCCCGCCTGGCCATGTCGTCACCCGCGGACTGCCAGGCCAGGTGGCCACATCTGCTACATCCCAGCTGGCCGCTGGCGACCCACTTGCCCTCTGATCCGGATGGAGTCTGTCCTTCCACCCC